ATATTCTGGTGTTAAAACCGATAAAGCCCCTTTGGCGGCAGATCCTTTGCCCCTTACGGTTCTTAAAGTGTCGTAAATGTACGCTTCCATAAATGATAAGTTAGTTAATTATTTATTATATTCTATTCCGTCAATATACATTTTGGCTATGATTTCACGCATAATCTCAGATGATCCAGCCAAGATCGTTCCAACTCGAGCGTCTCGGTACGCTCTGGCTATCTTGTATTCTTCCATATAACCATACCCCCCAAACATTTGCAAACATTCGTCCGTTACGGTTTTAAAAAGCTCGGCCGATTTTAATTTGAGCATGGAAGCTTCTTTAACCACATTTTGACCCTTGGCCAATCGTTGGGTGGCCAAATACATCAATGCTCGGGTACAATCGATTTCGGTTTGTAATTCGGCCAACTTGTGACGCAATACCTGAATTTTGGCAATGGGTTTGCCAAAGGCCTCTCTGGATTTGATGTATTCTAAGGTTAAATCCATAACGCCCAAACAAGACCCTACGCACAACCAAGCCACCGATAAACGCTCGGTTTGTAGACTTTCCATCATATAATAAAACCCTTTACCTTCCTCTCCCAATAAATTTTCCACGGGTACTTTCACATTATTTAGCCCTATTTCGGCGGTATCGGATGAACGAATGCCCAATTTATTAAGTTTGGTGGTGGTATACCCTTCGCTATTGCAATCAATGATGAGCAAGCTAACGCCTGCAGCCCCTACATTGGGATCTGTTTTAACCGCCACCACGGCATAGTCGGCATACACCCCATTGGTGATAAAGGTTTTAGAACCATTAACAATATAATGATCGCCCTGTTTAATGGCCGTGGTGCGCAATGCAGCCAAATCCGATCCAGCGCCAGGTTCGGTCATGGCCAAACAGCCAATTTTCTCAGCGGTTACCGATAGAGCCAAGTAGCGTTGTTTTTGATCTTCGTTGGCAGCATGGTTTAAATAATTCATGGCCAAATAGGAATGTGCGCATATGCCCAAAGCAGGGCCGAACATATTATGGCGGGCCATTTGCTCCAACAACACCAAAGAATACATATCATCTAGCCCCATGCCTCCATGCTGTTCGCCCACTGTAAGCCCCAAAAAGCCATATTCGGCCGCGGCTTTAAAAAACGCACGATCCACCTTGCCTTCTTTTTCCCATTTCTCAAAATCGGGGGTCATATGATTTTGCACAAAACCATCTATGGTATCGCGAAACATAAAATGCTCTTCGGTCAAAAAATAATCTACACTACTGGACATAAAGAAAGTTTTTTAATATTGCTTCAAAAATAAGAATTTATAATGATATGGGGAATGATTTATTGAAAGCTATAAACCCAACATGCTTCAAACATAAAACGACTCTTTTTTATTGGCCTGGATTTCCATTGCATAAACCTAAACGCCTGTTTATTAATGATTATAGTGGTTTCCCTATTAATTGATTGTTTTTAACTATACAATCCCCCACATTTTATTCTATTATTTATGCTATTTTGAGTTTTTTTCATTGGGTTACTAAACCATATATAATGACCGGAA